TTTTATTATATTTTTTAATTTCGAAAATTAATTTTTCAATAAAGATATTTCAAAATTTTGGAAATTTTCAAATTATTTCTTTGGCGCTGCTGCTTTACCTCACCATACATACAAGGAGTACATCTTCCCCACAACACCACCATTTTTTCACCTTCATCCAACTCACATATCTCTTTACAGTTGCTTGAAGGCCCGTCGTTTAGCGGCTTTGCCAACCACCAGCGTTATCACGCACCAGCATTTGCTGGCGTGTCATTACGCTTGCCTTTCGTTGCTCCTTACTCTTTGTACATCTATACTTTTTGTGCCGTGACGTCGCGCTGCTTCTGCTCACCTGCACTTTTATCACAGCAAATTTTACCTCACTCTAACTACTAATTGCACTCTGCGAATTCCCTGACTTCCTTTGCTTACGCTTTGGTTGCTCCCGTTTTTTTACAACGTCTGTTATCTCTCTCTTTCTTTGCACCGTTCGTTTGTGTTTGCCTACCGTGTTCACGTTTTTGATTGCTCTATTTGCACATCCTGTAGACGCGTATTTGGCATCTTCATCATCACCATAATGGCGAATGTTTGGTTTTGCTTTGTATTTGTCTTTGATTTTCTTCCACACATTTGCTCGGTCTAGACAGCAATCGCGATTTCTGTTTATTTATCTATCTTGTGCTGCAACTCATTTCTTTTAACACTTGCTTGTTTTTAATTTTAGCTTCATTTTATGTTTCTTTTATTTTATTTTCATTTTTTTTTTYTTTTTGTTTCAAGTTCTATATTTACTTTTCACGAAGGTTATAGTACGAACCGACATATTTTAGCAGAAAAATTTGTCAGCCTCGTTCATGAGATTACTTACTTATTACGATACTTGACTGTAAACGAATCTCTTAAGCATTTTATGACATGTTTCATAGAGACAGCTATTGGTTGGAAGTATTGAATTCACTGATCTCTATTAACTCACTCGCTCCGTAAATTCCAACTTCCAAGTCAAAAACTACTTTCCTGCTTCCAAGACTGGCTTGCAATTCAAATAAATCGTGTATTGCTGATGTCAGGCCGATATCTTCGGGAGAAGTTCGTATATTTCATCTTCGAAATCACACGTAACTGAAATTCTCAGCAGTTTTATTGAAAAAAATTTATAGGGTCTATTGCTAACATTATCTATTGATAATTTAGAGAATCACTTTAGTATCCTTCTTCGAAAAGTAATAATTTCCCGAGGTTAAAGAAAAATCTACTAAATGCCTATCGAAATTTGGTCTTCAAATATGTTACACCCTCCTAATACCCAGTTATGAATCATGCTAAGCGCAATTTCGTTATCTATACTAAAATTCTATGCTGAGTAGTGGTAACAGTTAAAAATAAAATGTAATGAATTTTTGTAGTAATTTTATCTACAGGCCTTGTATTTGTCATAAATACTATTTATATTTGGAAAAGATAAGCAATACACAGCACATTCGAAGCATACGTATATATTATACATACGTTAAAATTTCGTATTTTAAATGACTTATGATTTCTCAATTAAGTACGTATGACATCTCGGCTGTGGAATGTATAGCATGTAAGTTAAAATATAATATATATTTTAAAAAGAAATTTGAAAGCTGGTTTTCGATCCGAGAATTTTTCTCTGCCAACGAAGAAGAAAAGATCAGAAATAAAATGACTAATCAAAACTCACGACACATCCATTTAGTTAGTGACAAATGAACTGTTACTAATTTTAAGCTGTTTCTACTTTCAGTTGGAAAAACTCTTTTGACTAAGAAATATTCCCTAAACAGGCTGACACATATAATAGACCGAAGTTTTAGAACATCTTTCAATTAAAAAATCTTGAGGTTTAAAGGATAACGCAAAAATGTTTGGAAAAACTCTCATCAAAATACCGTTTCTTCCTCACGTAGAAAAAACATTTATATTGTAAATAGTTCTTCCACTTTCATCCCCAACTCTGACTGTATACAGAAATATGCAGAAAAAATGCAGGCTATTTATCGATAAGAATACTAAAAAAAACTACAAAAACTCTACTGGGGTTTTATCTAATACTCTCAGAGACGCCATAACATATTTAGGATGGAGAAAATTTAGTCACTTTTCAATACTCGCTCTCAAAGTTAGTTTTAGATCTATAAAAGCTGTAATATTTGTGATGGTCGTATAGAATACATATAGAAACGAAAAATCTACGAAAAATCTGCTCTGATTTTACCCAGTGCCTGAATACTTAGCTTGAGGGATTTCAAGAGACATTCGAACTACGAACCAGCTACTTCCCTACTCTCCTCTAATAACACTAATGACCCACTTCGAGTTGCTTCTTTTTAATCATGGAAAAATCCTTTCATATATATGCTTAAAAAGCAAGAAAGACTAAAAAGCCTGAGCTCGCTGTATATGGTTGCTTTCTGTATCCTCCAAGAGTTATTCAATAGAACTTCACAGGCCTTCGGTATACCTGGTACTTGCGCATGGAAGATGCTGGCTGAGTTTGATAGGTGGATAAGGGTACTCAGAAGATTTCGCAGGGATTATTGTTTAAGAATGGTACAATCTACGAAGATACTGTTAAGACCGGACTACTACAACATATACCACCTTTATATAGCGTTTGTGCTATAAAAAATGCACCTAAGAGGTTTTATTTTGTTTTCGGTATATTCCGCAGGATAATTTGTCGAAATACACCTTTAAAAGCATTCCACATTAAAGAATTTTTCAAATATCACTAACGCCTACATCTCATTTAAAGCGTTGGCTAATTTCACGCTTTCATCTTTTCATTTCCGCCTACCTTATAACAACCCACGCCACCTCACTTGACAACCTTAGTTGTTCCCCATTGTAAGGAGACAGGAAGGCACGCTATAGATAGATAAGCGTTGAAATTAATTTTACTGTCAAACGTTTTTTATTAATTTATGTCTGCTACAGATTATCTATACATATGTATTTATTTATTTGCCATTAGAACAGCACATGCGTCCCTACTAAATACAAGGCTTTGCAGGCCTCAGGAATGCTCACTCTCACGTTTCAAACTGGGGTGGTAAGTATGTTTATTGTTGGCAGCTACCTCTGACTCAGAAGGATTTGCCACACTACGCGCTACCTTCATTTCAACAGCCTGTCATGCCTCTCTCTCATTTTCATGCAACCGCGCGCTCTCATCCTCTTTTACACTATCTTGCTCACACTCTCGCGTTTACTGTGCTGTGTAGTGTAGTCTACATGGCCTTGTAGGTATGATTAATAATACGCTTGGCGATTGTTTGGTGAATTTGTCATTTAAAGTCCTTGAAATTTTGTAATGTTCAAGTTATATGCGATTGTGTGACCTCACACTACCACAGGGGGCCGTGCTATTTAGCGCAACTAATGTTACTTTTACTGTTGTTGCGCTCTACATTTGGCGCAAGGCGCGGAATGCACACATATCGATATTTACATAGCCTTGTGACTTGCGATTGCACGTATACTTTCAGATAAGCAATCGTTTTGACGGTGGCGTCTCTGTATCCAGTTCGCGTACATACAATTGAACTGATTGAGCAATTTGTACGTTTCCTCATTCAGTTCTCTCTAGTTGTTATTGCTGTGGATGTCCTTGTATGTTTTTGGCATAAATAGAAGACTTGAGCAACAGGGGTTCGGGAAGAATTTAGCATTGACCGCAACCTTTTTGGTAAGACAAAACTAAATTTTTGACAATGATCGTGAATAACTGCTTTAGTTGACCTGCATTCGTCAAAGAAGCTGAATAATATCTTGGGAGCCAGTATATAAGAAAATAGACCAGTTAAAAATTTGTGAATTGATAGTAGTTCGGACTAAGGGCCAACAAAAATTTCAGATCTTAGCCCTAATACACAACATAATAATAGAACCGACTTCGCCAATTTGT